TACCTCACTGGGCCCCCTTCTGAGAGTGCTTGCCGGGACTGTGAGTTTGGGGGAGACCACACTGGCTGCTCGCCCCGCCCCCTGGGCAGCAGGTGATACGTTGGCGAGGAGGCCCCTGCGGCAGGCCCAGGTGTGACGAGGCGGTGGGGCCCCCTGCGGCAGACCGCCCGTGGGGCCTCCGGAAGCCGCCGCGGCCTCTGGCAGCCCCGGCGCCGGCGCAGGCCCACCCGACCCCTCCGGCAGCTGCCTTCAGCTCAGCTGCCTCCGACTGAAAAGGCCTCAGGCCCGCAGCGAAGCCACGACCCAGCTCCCCGAGCAGCCGAGTGACCCGGACACTCCGAGAGGCGAACGCCGGCCCGGAGGCCCCAGCCCCGCTGCAGTGCCGCCGCCCGCCCTCGCCCTCGTGCCCGGGCTGCCGGGGCTGCCTGTCGGGTGCGGGGGGAGAAGGGAGGAGTGCAGACCGGGCTCGTGGGCGCCTGCGTCTCAACGGGTTGGAACCAAGGCGCCAGAGCGCGCCCAAGCATGGCTCCGCCAGGGGCAGCATCCAAGGGGACGCCCAGCTGGCCAGACCCCGAAAGCCTCAGGTGGGAGGCTTGGGGGGCAAGGGGGTCTGGGGAGAGGCGCAGAGTGAGGGGAGGCAACCCCCTCCGTCACTCCAGGGAGCGAGGGGAACACTCTGCGAAACAGGGCCCGGGGGCGGGCGGCTGCGGCAGCAGGGACAGAGGCTGTGCGGGAGCCGGTCTCGGGGCCTCCCCCCCCCCCGCTCCCCCCCCCCGCCAGTCTGGTGCAGCTCCCAGGCCACGCCCACACCAGCAGTGTGGGCGCAGGGCGGGACGCTTCAGCGCTCTGGGGGCTGCCCGAGTGCACAGAAGCCACAAGCGTGGTGGAGGTGGTGACTCACCCTCCCTGGAGACAGAGGGACGGAGCGCAGGTCGCTGCCCCAGAGCCACAGTCACCCGCAAAGAGGAAGTCCCTCCTGCCAGGACAGGTGTAGCGGCCAGGCCAGAACCCACGGCTGAGGCACGGCCTTGACCGTGTGCCACCCGCCACACCCCTCCCTGCCCTGGGGCACCTCGCTCTGCACATCTGCGGGTCCCGGTGTCCAAGGAAGGACCCGGTCCACCGGGGAACCCAGGCCCTGCCCAGGAGCTGGAAGCCGAGATGGCCCCTGGCCGCCGGGGTCCTCGAGCCACTGCTCGGGCAGCTGGGGGAGAGACTCTGCCTTGTGGCTGGGGTGACAGGCCCCACACCAGGCCCCAGGCCCGGAGCCCTCAGGCACCCCCATGAGGAAAGGGGCGTGGGGAGCCCATGCTGGCTTTGGGGTTCAGACCGATGTATGACCCAGGGGACACCCCCCACCTGTGACAAGGCAGCAGGTGGCCCCTGAGCTTCTCACATAGACACCAGGCAGGCAGCCTGGGGGAGCCAGAGGGGTGGACCGGGCCTTGTCCCCTGCCTGCCCTTCCTGGCCCGTCTCCTCCGCACCGGATGGAGCCCAGGGCCGCCCTGGGAACGGGGAGACTGGAGTGGGGTCGGGGCCACGGTGCCCTCCACTCTCGCCCAGGGCCCCTGCCCAGGGCCCCGGTGTCTGTCTGCTCCCGTCCAGGTGAGCTCCGCGCCTGGGAGAGCACTCCCTCACCTGTCCTGCCCGCCTGGGAGCAGTGGGGGCGGGGGTTCTGTGCCACCCCCCAACAGAGCAGGGGGGCCTCGCTGCCCCCGACCTCAACTCCGGACGTCCCCAAACTGTCTTCATCGGACCACGCCACCTGCTTCCTCCTGGGCCCACAGATGGAGCAGAAACACCCCCAGGGGCAGCCTGACCCGCTGTTGGTCCTCTCCGCTGCTGGCCAGAGTCTGGGCCTGCGGCCTGGGGCACACCCTGGCCCCACCCGGTGGGGCGGAGGGCGCGGCGCAGCAGGGCCGCAGGCGGTGGGGTCTCCCCTGCAGGTAGCAGGCGGGAGGGGAGGGGGCCGGCTGCCCCCTTGGTGCTCTCGGCCTCCTGATGGCAGCTGCAACTCAGCCGCCTCCAGCGGCTCAGACTCGTCCGTGCCGCACCCGCTTCCCCCCCCCGCCCCCCGGCACCCTTGGGTGGGGGAGAGACCAGGACGGCGCGCTCCAGCCCGCGTCCGCCCACAAAGGCACTCCAGAGCCAGGGTGTGGGAAGGCACTTTACGGGGCGGGTGAGGGGGCGGGAGGAGACGAGAGCAGAGCCCACGACCGCCGACGGGCCGGCCCGCGGTCGGCACAGGCCCCAGGCTCCAGTCGCGGGCAGCGGTGGCCCTCACCGGGCGGGGGCCTCCACGTACTGCACGGGGTCGGAGAAGGGGCCTGGCCGGGCCCAGTAGTCCACCGCTCGGACTCGGTAGAAGCCGGAGACGACAGCCGTGCCTGGGGACACGGAGGTACACGGGTGTTCCTGAGCACGTGACCCCTGAAGCCCCCCGACCGCGGGCTTCACCACGCATGGTGCCCGGACCCCAGGCCGCAGGCGCCGTGTGGAGGCCCCGGAGCTGGCGGCCGACCCACCTGGGCTGAATACGAAGAGGTTGAAAGTGGAGGGCCTTCCGCTGACGGGCGCGTAGCCCCGGCCGTCCAGGGAGAACTGGACCTCGTACGTCCACAGGCACCTGGGGTGGTTGGTCAGTCAGGACCCGGGGAGGTCCGGGTGTCAGAGCCCCGTCGCCCCAGCCCCCCACTGGCTCCTCCGGGGCCCTGGGCACTCTCCCTGGGGTGAGCACCGGCTGCGCGCCTGAGGGGAGGGACTGGAGCCCACCTGCCACGGGCTGCCTCCCCTGTAGGTGCCCTCACCCAGCACCGGGCAGGGGCGGCCCCTGCCGCTCAGTGTGTACAGTGGGGGTGGGTGCGTGAGGGGAGGGGTAGGTGGCCTTCTGGGTGGTCAGGGTGGGGGCTGCACCCACAGCGAGGTTACCGCGGGGCACTGCGGCCTGCAGGAGGGGCCGCGCGCGGGTGGGGGAAGAAGGGGCAGGGGCGTGGGGGCGACCACCCTCACGCACTTTGAGGCCATGCGCTCATCCGACCAGACCAAAAGCAGCTGCCCGCGGGTCAGGGGCAGAGCGCGGAGCCGGGTCACCTGGAAAGAGGGAGGCACCGTGACGGGGTGCGGGGAGGGTGGGGCCGGGCGGGGCGGGGGCGGGGCTGCCACTTGCCTGGCCCGGCGGCTCCTCGGGGCGCGCGCACACGTGCACCAGCAGCAGCGAGGGCAGCGGGAGCTCGCGGCGCAGCGTCAAGCGGCCGCTGGCGGGGAAGGGGCGCGGCGCCGTAGCCACAGGGTCCTGGGGACAGGGCCGGGTACTCAGGGCCGGAGAACTTGGGAGCAGCCCCGCCCCTCGCCCCCCCCCGTCCCCCCCGCCCTGCATCCCGCGGACCTCGGCCGCACGCATGCGCCGGAACTGCTCCGGAGAGGGGAAGACCGGCCGGCCGAGGCGCTGCCACTCTCCGTGGGGGCTGCAAAGCTGGTTGTCCAGGTAGAACGTGACATACACGAGCCCTGCGGAGCCGCACGCTGGGGCCGCGCTCCCGAGCCCGCCCCCTCCGACACACCCGGCCCCCGGGCCAAAGCCCGGCCCACCCAGCAGCGCCCCAGGGCCCCCTCCCTGGACCCCGGCGCTCACCAGGGCCCGGGGGCACCCCGTGCAGGCGCAGGGTTAAGGCGGCGCTGCGGTTGGCGTGGGCGCGGGTGTCATCGCTCGCGTAGACCAGAACCGCGGCGCGCCAGGCGTCGGCGGCGCCGGCTGGGCGGTGGGCGCTGGCCAGGACGCCCACAGTGTGGTTGGCGTCCAGCACCGCCCCGTCCTGCGACACCTGGGCCCAGAGCTGCTCGCCGTCTGCGGGGCACGAGGCGGCGGTCACCACACGGAGGGTGCCACCCCTCCCCCCCACACCCCAGGACCGGGCTTCCCGCCATTTGCTCCTTCCACTGGGGTCCCCACCGGGGTCCCGGCCACACCACAACCTCTGCGGCCCACCCAGCAGCGCACATCCACCCGGCGCCTCAGTCCCTCCGGCCCCGGAGGCGTACGCCCAGGGCGTGCGCGCCTGGCGCCCGGGCTCCCAGCCCGCAGCGGCGCGCGGAACGCAGGCTCACCCAGCAGGGCCAGCAGCCCCATGGCCGTGAGCACGGGCTTGCGCAGCAGCTGCACGTGGGGCGGGCGGGTGTTGTTGACCTGGAAGCGGGCGGTGAGCGTGCGCTGGGAGAAGGGGTGCGGGTGGTAGCTCAGGAAGGCGTTGTCGTTGCTCAGGAGTGCGTAGCGGACGGACGAGCTGCTGTTGCCCACCAGCAGGTCCTGGTGCTGCGCGACCACCTGCGGAAACGGGCAGCTGGGACCTCGGCCTCCCCCTGCGGAGGGCCGCCGGTGCGGGCGGGAGAGGCCCGGGGCCCGGCCCACCTTCACGACCATGGCCGCGTAGGTCACGTCGGCCCGCCACGGCTGCGGCAGGGACCAGCCCACCAGCGGGTCGGCCTCGTCGTTGTAGACCGGTGTGTCGGCGAACTCGGGGAAGAGCTGCTTTATCTGCCGCACCACCGCCTCCTCCTGCTCCAGGATGTAGATGGAGCTGCCCGCGCCCTGCGGCCGGCAGCGCGGCCTCAGCATGGACGGCGCCGGCCCCCAGAGAACCCCCTGGGGGCGGTGGGGCCGGGCCCTACCTTCTTGTGGAGGGCGATGTAGTCCAGCCGTACTCCCACCTCTCCCGTGAAGAAGTTGGTGCCGCGGAGGCAGTGCCCCAGGAGGCCCCAGCTCAGCGGGGAGCGCGGCGGCGGGTGGAAGGAGTCCCCGGGGCCGCCCAGGCGCAGAGCCGGGCTGGCCGCGCGCAGCCCCTCGGAGCAGGCGTCGTAGTAGTTGAAGAAGCCTGGCGGAGGGTTGGGCACCCACAGCCTCTCGCCGCAGGGCCCCGCCCCGCCCCGCCCCCTTTGCCGGCTGGACCCAGGAGGCCCCGCCTACCTTGCGTGGTCATGGACACGTTGTCAAAGTCGTGGTGGTCGGGCTCGTTCCACGTCTCGAAGTTCCACTTGGAAACGTGCTCCAGTCCGAACCTATCTGCAGTGTCCCTGCTGTCACTCGGGCCCGCCCTGGGGCAGGGGAATGCCCGTGCCAGCCCCCAGGCAGGGGCGCCCGCGGGTGGCGGTCAGGGTGTTGGGCTGACTCCGTGAGTCTGCACTCCGCCCCCATGATGGGTGAGGCGGCTGGGCTGCTGCAGGAGGGCGGGCGGGCAGCCCGGGCAAGCCCACCGCCGCCCCTCACCCCCAGCCTCGCCCACCTATGTATCTCCTGGCCAGGAGGGAGACCAGCTCTCTCCACTCAAACACCTGCTGCTTGTCTTCAAAGTCTGAGAAGTGTCCAGAGGGGCTGCCCATCAGCTCAAAGCCTGCAACGGAGGGGCGGCCATGATGCCACATCACCCCCCCCCCCGCCATGATCCCCACTCCCCCAGGCCAGGGCCCCACCACACCAGCGCCGGGCCATTCCCGGATGAGCAACCACTGACGACCCACAGGGGCCAGGGCACTGGGAGAGGGCACCTGGTGGGCAGAGTCAGGGCCACCACTCACCGGGGAGGAGCTGGTTCTCCCTGAGAAGGTCCAGGTAGCCATCCAGGTGAGTGAAGTTGTAGCTCAGGCCCTGCCCTGCCGACCTCCTGCAGAGGACGGGAAAGGTCAGGGCAGGGAGGGGCAGCCCTGGGCTGGAACTGTGTCCCTGGTCAAGCAGGTGGAGAGCCCACCAAGTGCCACCTGGCACTCAGCTCCAGAACCACGGCCCCTCCCCTTGGCAAAGGCCAGCCACGGAAGCCTGTCACAGCCTAGTACGAACTAGTGCCTGTCCTGGAACCCCCACCCCAAAGCCGCCGGGGCTCAGGACAGCTAGGGGCTCAGGAGCAGGCCGGGCAGGCAGGCAGCCGACCGGGAGTAGGGGCTACGGGACAGGGGCCTGACGGGCTTGCTTCTCCGAGCCCCTGGAGGCCAGGGCCCCTGTCGCCCCACCTCCCCCCCCACACACACTCCAGGAGGCAACTCGGACAGCAGGAAAGGGAGAAGGCAGCGCATCCCAGGCTGCGGCCGGTCCCCCGGGGCTGCCCCTCCAGGGGGATGTGCATCCCCAGGCAGTGACTCAGCTCGGACGTGCGGGAAGGGGTGTGACGGGGAGCGAAGGGCCAGCCTTCAGGGAGGGCTTCTCCAAGGCGGCACCCAGGGCCCCCGGAGAGCCGGGGCAGGCAGCCGGGGGAGAGCAGGGGACAGCCGGGGCAGACCGGAGGAGGGGTGGGCAGTGTGGGCAGCGGCCTGAGGCACACGGGGCTCAAGGACGCGGCGGCGGCGGCGGAACGGCAGCGCGTGGGCCTGGGGCAGGACGAGGGTGCGTGCGAGGTGTCACCTGGGCCACCTGGGCCTTGCGACCCCAGCGAGGAGAGGCCCCAACTCGCGGGGCGGGCGGGGGAGCCCTACCGGAGATCCAAGCAGAGCAGCGCCGTGGCGTTTGGGGTGCACTCGTCGGCAAGACTTAGTTCTCTGCAGCGACACCGCGAGGGGCGTGCAGAGCTTCCCCTCCCCACTCCCGCCGGCACAGCCCCCCACTGCCAAGGTCCCCGCCCGAGGGACACTCGTGACGACGGATGTCACTGTCAGGCGGGGCTCGGAGGGTGGCCCGGACGACGTGCCTTCTGTGGTTCGGGAGGGCGCGTGGGGCGACACGGAGCTGCCGCGACCACGTCGCCCGCTGTAGCTTCAGCGCCCAAACTGCTCGCCTGCCCGTCCGTCCGTCCCTCCGGGCACCCCAGCCCCCGACTGCGTTTCCTGTCCTCACAGTCTCGCCTCTGCCACGGTGCTCTGAAAGGTCCCTCTGGGGGCTGACTGGAGCCAGAAGACGGTCCCCGGGGGCAGATGGGGTGTCCGGACGAGGAGGGGCTGAGCGGATGGGTGGGTGAGGACGGGAGACAGCCCGGGCTGATGGGTGCTGGGTGAGCTGGAGGTGGGGCCCCGGCACAGCCCTCGCCCGGTGGCGTGGGCCGTGAGATGGGTGGCCGTCCGTCAGGCCTGGGTGAGGCAGTGGGGCAGGGGAGCCGGACGGGCCGGTCCAGGCCGGGGTGCTGCCAGGTGAGCAGCACAGCAGGCGGCAGGCAGGGGGTCTGAGGGCAGCCCTTGAGGACGTGCCCCGTCCACGCGGACAGCCGAGGAACTCGGGAGGGAAAAGGCCGGAGGGCCTGCCAGGGGGCGGCCAGAGTGTTGCCTGTGTGTGTGTATGCGCCCGTGTGTGTGCATGCGTGTGCGTGTGCGTGCATGTGACGGCAGGCAGGGGCAAGGCAGAGTCACCGCGGGTCAGGCCCCCCACGGTCCCTGGCCTGTCAGTCTCCAGCCCAGCTCTGTCTCCTGAACTCGGAGGAGGATCTGGACAGGTCAGCACCTCCCTTCCAGCTGTTCTCTCACCGCCCCTCACCCAGGGCACCCCTGCGCCCCTCACCCAGGGCACCCCTGCACTCAGGCAAGGCAGAACATGGGCCTGGCCCTGAAAGTCCACCCACCACGCCCCCTGCTGCTCGCAGCCACTTGCCCTCGCTGACCCCCTCTGGGCAGGTGCTGCCTTCTGGCTCCGGGACCCAGCAGGATCCCGCCGTCCCTCCCACACCTTCCCTTCCATCCAAAGGTCGCAACCGGTAGCAAAGAAATAAAACTTAATAGGCACTTGGGTAAAAATTAAATGCGCGCAGGGGATGGGTTCCAAAGTCCCACCAGTGGGGGTGGGGGGGACGCAGGTGCACACGATGGTGACCAATGGCAAGGCACAAAGGGTTCTCCAGACCCTTGCTAGTCCCTGCTTCGTCTGGGGCCAGCGGCGTCCCCAGTCTGTCACTCGGGGTGAACCCGAATGTCCGCTGGCCCAGCCAGCCTGGGCAACCAGGGGTGCCCCGGGGGTCACTACACCTGCCCCCAGGAAACCCGAAGGTGGGAGCTAGGACCCCAGGAGCAGTCCTCGGGCCTCGCTTTTGGCGCCCCCACTCCGTTGGGGAGGGAAATGGTGTATTTTCCAGGCAGGGTGCAGAGCGGAAGGGTGAAGGGTGCAGCCCACTCAGTGCTCCCCCCCCCCAGAAGCCTGGGTCACAGTCGCAGCCCTGGCCCCGATCGACCCCCAGGGCCCCTCCATCTTGCCGCCCTGCAGGGGGTCGAACCTGGGGGCCGGGCACCAGGAGTCGCTCCTGCATGTGGGCGGGGCGGCGGCGGCAGCACAGCGGCTTCATTCACCGCACGCCTGAGGCCGGTCGGCGGCACCAGACCCCCACCCCGGCCCTGAGCGCGTGCGCTGCGAGCACCGAGCTCCGCCCGGGCCTAGTGAGTGCTCGGGTGCGCCGTGGGGTTGGGGGAGGACGCCGGGTGCAACCGCATGGGGTGAGGGGGACCAGCCGCGCGCGCGCGCGCTCTCTCGGCAGTGGGGGCGCACGCGCGCACCCGAGAGGGGACGCAGGGCGGGGCTTGTGCGGGGTGGAGACCCAGGCCGGGGCTCCCAGAGCAGGTGGGGGCGGGGAAGAGCGTGCTCTGCGGTCCCGCGATGCGGAGGGCAGGCTGTGGGCCCCGGCCGCGGGCCTGGGAGGAGGGTCTGCCTAGCCTCGGCCTTCCTCCTGGAACCCCGCGCGCAGGCACGCGCGTGGTAGCAGAGCTTTCGGGAGAAAGTCGGCTCTGGTCCTCAAGGGCCCTGGAGACCAAATGGGCTGTCTGCGGGCCTTTTTTAACTTGTAGGGACACGTTTCTTTTCCAAATAACTGAACTTAACGATTTAAAACCGCGACTTAAAGACGAATGTTAAGTAAATAACCGTGTGGCTGTGGCAGGGCATGGGCAGGAGGCTGGCAGCAGGTGGAAGGCACCAGAGACCCCAGCCGCTGTCTGCAGAGCAGGAGAATCCTGCCGCCGGTGGGCCCCTGAGTGGGTGTGGAGTGGGCCTCAGTGTCCTCCCCCAGGACCCCAGACGCCTGCCCACGTGCCCCTGCCAGACCGCAGGCTGGTCAGAGCTCTGAACACGCCACAGAGAGGCAGGCGAAGGGCTGGGGTCTGTGGCTGTGTGAGCGCGTTAGGGCCCAGGGGTCCTGCAATTCTCTCAAAGGGCAGCTGGGACCTTAGTTGTATTTCGTCACCTGCTTCAGACCCCCAGCCTGGGTGGGAGCTGCGTGGGTCCCAGGCCACACTTGGGCAGGCAGGGGCCCCTGGCTCTGCCCTGCGCGGCCCACAGACTCTCCGAGGACAAGGCTGGAGAGGCGGCCCACGTTGTTGCCCCTGGCGGTCACCACCCCCACCCCCATCTTTGCCCCCAAATGGGGCTCCTGGTCTCCCAGCCAGGCCCAGGGGTTCAGAACTGCGGCTGGACTTCAGGGCAGGCTTCCCGAGGCCCCACAGTGGGGCCGGGTGTGGAGGGGCCTGGATAGAGCCCCTCGGCCTCGCACCGTCCCCCGTCCCGGGGGAGTGGAATTCGGCAAGACGGTTGATCTGTATTCCCCTGGCAGCTCCCGTGGGGGCGGGGGAAGTGGGACAGCAGCCCAGGCCAGTGTGGACTTCCGGCCGCCCCAGGGACCACCCCTCCAGGATGGGGGGCAGTTGGGGCTTTGGCTCCCCATGGGTGGACCCTGCTCACCCCCTCCTCATTTAAAAGACGGGGGCTGAGGTCCCAAATAATCACTGTGAAAACAGCTGCTTGCCCTTAGTTCACACGTGTGGGGCGCCAGGACAGCCGTGTCAGAGGCGGCCAGCCGGGCCCTTGTGCGGGCAGAGAAGGGGGTGCAGGGGAGCCGGGCCCTGCCACGCACAGGGGGTCAGCACCCTGCTGGAATCGGGTGGTCTGGACCCACGCCCCACTCCAGGCTAGTACCAGTCAGTCTCTTGATGGCCATGCGTGCGTGTGCGCGCACACACACACACACACACACACACACACACACGCACACACGGCAGCTTGTCCACAGAAGGACACAGAGCAGAAGCCAAGGACGGGGCTGCCCAGGTACGCCCCTGCCTGGCAAACCTGTCTCCTGTCAGGACAGGGAGGGTGTCCGGGGTTGGGGCAAGAAGACCAGCCCCTCCCTTGGCCCCCTGTGGCCCATACCCATCCTCCAAGGTCCTGCGGGCCGGGCCACTTGGCCCAGAGCTGAAGGGTGATGTGCTGCCTGTGTCTACCTTGGGCCGGGCCGGGCTCCTGAGCCTTGGCCTCCCCCAAGGGCCCTAGGACCCAAGCACCCTGCCCCAGCCGCTTGCTGCCTGGCCCACCTGTCCCGTACCTGCCGCCCTATCGCCTGTCCCAGGAGGCTGGGCACTTATCAGAGGCCACAAGATGTAACTACTCGCGAGCCTCCAATCACAGTGCGGCTCCCCGGAGTAGCCGCTCAGGCAGCACTCGGCTGGGGGGCAGGTGACTCAGCAAACTTTGGGGTAAATAATTTAACCGCCAGCCCAGCCCGGCCACACAGTCAGAGGTTCACTACGGAGAACTGCCTGCCAGAGGCGCCAGACCCGGAGCCCACCACCCGCACCCCCGCCCACGGGCAGGAGCCGCAGGCCCAGGGCTGCAGCCAGCCCGCGGACCCTGGCCTCAGAGCACGGACGGCGGGGCCCCTGGCCACCCACCGCGCCCGTGAGCGGCTCCCTCAGGTGAGAGTCACGGCGGGCGTGCAGGGCGGTGACGGCTCTGGGGGACGCGGCCACAGCCAGGCCGGCTGCCGGGCGGAGGAGCAGGACAGGCCCTTTCTGGGGACCTGCAGGCAAGAGGCAGGTGGCATTTAAACAGCCCTGACCCTGGGGGCCCCTGCGAGGTGAGGTCTTCAGAGGAGGAAACTGCTCCCCTCCCGCCCACGAAGGCAGAGCCACAGCCTGCGCCCCCAGGGGCCGGGCCAGCGGCACCACCTGCCCTCCGCAGCCCTGGCAAACCTGGCCCGGAGTCCTGGACCAGCGTGCAGCGAGGCTGCGCTGGCAGCGGAGTGACCGGGTGCACCACCACCACCACCACGAGGGGAGCTTAAGGAGCCATAGTCTGAGCTGAGCTCGCCCGGGGAGTGGGCCAGGCTGCTAGACGCCGCGCTGAGTGCAGAGACAGGGCGGGCCAGGGGCACAGTGCAGCTCCTCGGGGGGTGCCGCGCCCCTGGGGATTTGAGGCCAAACCTAGGAGAGTGGCCGGTCGCCGCGCGGAGAGGGCGGTCTGGGTGGGGGCGCGAGGGGAGGGCAGGGCAGGCTGCACGTGTCCCTGTCTCCGTGTCCGCACGTGTCTTCGGGCTCTTCGGTCTCTGGGACGAAGGCCCCGCTGCCCCAGTGCTGACGCCCACTTCTCCCTGGCAGGTGGTCCCACGGGGCCGGGCTGGCACCCCGGGATGGAAGTGCCCCCTGAGCAGCAGGGGGGCGGCCCGGCGCTGGTCCGCCGGCGGCCCCCGGAGCCCCCCAGCTTGCGCGAGAGGCTGAAGGCCAGGCTGCAGCGGAGCTGTGAGTGCAGTGCGCGGGGGACCTGGGGGCTGGTGCAGGGCCTGCTGCCCGCCACGCGCTGGCTGCGCGGGTACCGCCTGCGGGAGGACCTGCCGGGGGACGTCATGTCCGGGCTGGTCATCGGCATCATCCTGGTGCCCCAGGCCATCGCCTACTCGCTGCTGGCCGGGCTGCAGCCCATCTACAGCCTGTACACGTCCTTCTACGCGAACCTCATCTACTTCCTCATGGGCACCTCGCGCCACGTCTCCGTGGGCATCTTCAGCCTGCTCTGCCTCATGGTGGGGCAGGTGGTGGACCGCGAGCTCCTGCTGGCCGGCTTCGACCCTGCCCAGGACGGCCCGGGGCCTGGGGGCAACCGCAGCACCCTCAACGCCTCAGCCACCGCGCTGGCCCTCGGGCTGCAGGATTGCGGGCGTGACTGCTACGCCATCGGCGTGGCCACCGCCCTCACGCTGGTGGCTGGGATTTACCAGGTGAGGAGCTGGACGCAGCGGGGACCCCGCCGAACTTCTGGGTGGGGCCTCGAAGGACGGGGGTTTGACCACAAGAGGAGGACAGAGCAAGGCGTGGGCGGAGGTGGGCTGGAGACAGTGCCCCGGATGGGGCGTCCGAGGGGGCCCAGGGAGCCCATCCGGCCAGCTGCAGCCTGGGCTGGAATTGGTGGCCAGGCGTGGCCTCAGCTGCAGACACGCCTGGCTGGCCCACGTGGCCTCCCTGTCCCGGGTGGGCTGCCGGCCTCCTCGTGCTTCCCCGCCCCGGCCCCCGGAGCAGGCCTGGCCGCCGCAGCCCCGGGCCGCCTTCCCATCGGCTCCACGTCCCCGGGAGGAGCAGTGCCGCTCCCAGGGCAGGAGAAAGAGCTGCCTTCCCACGGCAAGCCCGGCCCCGCGCTGCGGCCGCCCCCTGGGCGGAGACTGACGGTCCGCTGTCCTCACGACACCCTGCCCACAGGTCCTCATGGGCGTCCTCCGGCTGGGCTTCGTGTCCGCCTACCTCTCGCAGCCGCTGCTCGACGGCTTCGCCATGGGGGCCTCGCTGACCATCCTGACCTCCCAGCTGAAGCACCTGCTGGGCGTGCGGATCCCCCGGCACCAGGGGCCAGGCACGGTGGTCCTCACCTGGCTGAGCCTGCTGCGCAGCGCCGGGCAGGCCAACCTGTGCGACGTGCTCACCAGTGCCGTGTGCCTGGTCGTGCTGCTGGCCGCCAAGGAGCTCTCGGACCGCTGCAGGCACCGCCTGAAGGTGCCGCTGCCCACGGAACTGCTGGTCATCGTGGGGGCCACGCTCGTGTCCCACCTCGGGCAGTTCCACGCTCGCTTCGGTTCCAGTGTGGCCGGCGACATCCCCACTGGCTTCATGGCCCCGCGGGTGCCGGACCCGGGGCTGATGTGGCGCATGGCGCTGGACGCCGTGCCCCTGGCGCTCGTGAGCTCCACCTTCTCCATCTCGCTGGCGGAGATGTTCGCCCGCAGCCACGGCTACTCTGTGCGAGCCGACCAGGAGCTGCTGGCCGTGGGCTGCTGCAACGTGCTGCCCGCTTTCTTCCACTGCTTTGCCACCAGCGCCGCCCTGGCCAAGAGCCTGGTGAAGACGGCCACCGGCTGCCGCACGCAGCTGTCCAGCGTGGTCAGTGCCGCGGTGGTGCTGCTGGTGCTGCTGGTGCTGGCACCCCTGTTCCGGGACCTGCAGCGGAGCGTGCTGGGCTGCGTCATCGTGGTCAGCCTGCGGGGCGCCCTGCGCAAGGTTAGAGACCTCCCGCAGCTGTGGCGGCTCAGCCGGGCGGACGCACTGGTCTGGGTGGCCACGGCGACCACCTGCGTGCTGGTCAGCGTGGAGGCCGGGCTGCTGGCCGGTCTGCTCCTCTCGCTGCTCAGCCTGATCGGCCGCACGCAGCGCCCACACGCCGCCCTGCTCGCCCGCATCGCCGGCTCCGGCTTCTATGAGGACGCCGCGGAGTTCGAGGGCCTGGTCCCCGAGCCCGGGGTGCAGGTCTTCCGCTTTGCAGGGCCGCTGCACTACGCCAACAAGGACTTCTTCCTGCGGTCCCTCTACAGCCTCACGGGGCTGGACGCGGGGCGTGCAGCTGCCAGGAGGAAGGAGCAGGGCCCTGAGGCGGGGGTCGTCGAGGGAGAGCCCCTCGAGGACACAGGCCGGGGCCCAGTGAGCAACGCGGCTGCTCTGGTGCCCGAGGCCACCGGCCTCCACGCCGTGGTCATCGACTGTGCCCCGCTGCTGTTCCTGGACGCGGCCGGCCTGGCCACCCTGCGGGAGCTGCGGAGAGACTACAGGGCCCTGGGCATCGCCCTGCTCCTGGCCTGCTGCAGCCCCTCCGTGAGGGACGCCCTGAGGAGAGGGGGCTTCCTCGGGGAGGACCGGGGGGAGGCGGACGAGGAGGGGCAGCTGTTCCACTCCGTGCACAGTGCCGTGCAGGCGGCCCGGGCCTGGCCCCGGGGGCCGTCGGCCTCCACCTCCTCGCTCTAGTGGGGGCGGCCCCGGCCCAGACCCCACTCCCTCCGAGTCCTCACACCGCCCGTCGCCCAGGCAGATTCTCCCGAGGCCGTAGGTCCCACCTCCTCCCTGGGGGGACAAGGGAGCCTTCGACACAAACGCCCCCGGGGTGCGGACCTGGACGCCAGTGCTGCGAGTCTGTGGGGCCGCGGGGGCCGGGTCGACACTCAGCGTCACCATCGCATTTGAACGGGGGCCCCGAGATAGCCACGGGCCCCCGTGGTGCCGAAAGGACCCTGGTCCCTCAACGCCTGCGGCCCGCACACCACCAGGTGGGAGCTGGCGGCTCTGGCCGGGGTGTAAGGGTCTCCGTGTCTCTCCGGGCCCCCAACACACACCCAAGTGTCCCTTACACCTCGTGCCTGGGCTTGGCCAGGCCCAGCAGGGCCCACGGCGGCGAGACCAGCGCGGCCTCCCCCGGCCCTGGGGCGGCCTCCCTGCACAGCCTGACCCACACCCAGCACAGGGCACCTGCGCACCTGCGGAGCTGGGTCCTGCCACAGAGCCAGGGCCGGAGCCCAGCCCCACCCGGAGCCTCCACAGTGGCCTCTGGCAGGAAGCCAGCGGTGTCAGATCCTGGGGTTGCCCCAGCACCCGTGGCCCCTGGGAGCCCGCGGCGGGGAGGTGACATCTACTCCCCAGAGGACACTTTGCTGGGAAGTGTACGGCTCCTCAGAGCTCTCGCCCAGCTTGCACCCCACTGTCCCCCGTGGTGGACACAGCCTCGGACACAGTGGGCTCTGCCCAGCCGCGCCCAGACGGCCTCCGCCGCTGTCACCCACCTGGCCGTGATGAGCTCCAGCAGCCAGTGGGTCCGGACCTGCTCGATGCCACCATGGGGGACGGCGCCCACGTAGGCCAGGTTGAGCTGCTGGTCCCAGCTGAGGTCGTACTGGTCAGCCCGGTTGTGTGGAAGTGGGGGGCTGGTGACAGAAGGAGGATGTGGGGGCATCGGTACCTGTGGGGTCACCCACAGAGCAGCCTCACCCAACACCCCGCGTTTGCGAAGCCAGGGCCTGGCCCCCGCACACAGCCTGGGGGTGTCCGCCGGTGCATCACACTGTCTTCGGTGTAATAAAGTGATCTCTACGCTCAGAGATGGTATGAAGTCTCGTGGTTTGGGTGGGGGCCCCTCAGAGGAGAGAGGGCCACATCCCCACCCTGCTCCTTGCCTTACCAGGGAGTGGCAGGCCTCAGCTCAAGGCCTGACACAGAGGGGGTGGGGACACGCGGGGCGGGGGGGGGGGGACACACGCAGGGGCAGGGGGCAGGGGCCCTGGCAGGGATGTCCTACCGCACGGGGGCTGCCCCCAGGAGGGCTCTGGGATGCAGGAAGAGCAGGGTCCTGAGCCACCGCCCCTCCCAGGGCCTGGGCTGCCTCCCATCACCAGGCTCCACCACCGGGCAAACTCAGGGCCTGGCCCCAGGCCTCCAGCACTCGGGGTCCCCTCTCAGCTAGAAACTCCCCGACCCCGTCCCTGGATCTGGGGGACATTGAGGAGACCCCCACTCTGACTGAGAGCGGACCCCAGAGGAAGGAGCGAGCTGTCCTGGACGGTCTTCTTCACCTAGCAGCACCTACTGTGTGCCGTGGGCGCAGGAGCCTAAGGGTCTCTCCACGCGCCACAAGGGGGTCCCAGAGGCCGGGGAGCGGGGTGCCGGTCCAGGTTTAAGAGAAGCGCGCGGCGGGATAGAGGTTAAGATGGGCCGCTCCAGCCTCAGTCTCCCCGCCTGTGACGCTCACCAGAAGCCAGTGCTCCTCCAGAAGGGCCTCAGGGGCCGCAGCGCGCGGGCCGCGTCCACGCGCACCAGGTGCGGGGCCTCGGCCAGGGCCGCCGGGGACCAGGCCAGCAGCGCAGCCAGGAGCACGAGCTGCACGGGCCCGGGCCCCGGGGGGCACTCGGCCGAGGCGGGCATGGCCGGGCGCGGCGCGGGGACACCCGGGCCCCTGCAGGCCCTCGGGGTCCTCTGCGCTCCGGGAGCCGAGATCTGCGCCACTCCGGCCGGTTCCGCCTCCGGGTCGCGCGCCACATGACCGCCATCAAGGGGCGGATCCTTAGGGCCTGAGCAAGTTGGGGCTGGGCGGGGCTTAGGTGGGCAGGTTGGGGGTGTGACCGGACTGTGCTGGGGAGGTGGGCGAGGGTGTGGGCGGGGCCAGGGCGGTGGGCGTGGGTGGGGCTCAGGTGGGCGAGGCAGCCTGCAGAGCGTGGGAGTTGGATTGCTGCCTCTCCTGGCAAGTTCCTCCCCGCGCCCCAGCCGCGCCGCCGGGGATGACAGTCCTGCCCTGCGAGCCGGCGCGGGGACCCTTGGAAACGCTCTCCGGCTTCTCTGGTCGGCGGCGCGAGGGAGAGCGCGGTCCGGCGGAGGGGCCGGGAGGGGCCCGATGGGCGGGGCGGGCGTCCGCCGGCCGGCTCAGAGTCTGCGGAGAGGTGGCCACACGCGGGGCACTAGGGCCAGCTGATGGGTTGGATGGGGGAAGAGCAGGATCAAAGGTGACACCTGCGTGTTTTTTTTTGGGGGGGGGGCGTATTTTCTGAAAGCGGGGCTGCTGTAAAGGCGCATGCGTGGTTGGGGACGGGCTGCGTCTGGGAAGCCCAGTGTGTGTGTCCAGGAGGCAGTGGGCGGCCTGAGCTGGCCGTGAGCGGAGGGGCCGCCCGGCGCGAGTGTGTGCGGGTCCTGCCCTTGAAACTGTGCGGATCTGCCCGGTAGACCAGACAGCCGCACACCCCTCGGCGTCCGGCCTGGCCCTGCACGGCCCCTCCCGGGCGGCGGGGCCCGCTCTGCAGTCAGCCGGCGGCCTGTCCCTTAGGTCGGCGACACAACGGTAGGAGCTGACGGTTTTCTAGAAGCCGTGGGAGCCGCCGGCGGGGCCAGGAAGTGGCGGCGAAGCGCGGAGACCCGCCGCCGGGAGGGCCGGCCACCTCCCCCGGCTGCAGCGGCTGCCGACCTCGGCGTCCGCAGGGAACATGGCTGCGCACCTGGAATTCTAAGTCGGGCGGACAGTGAGCTCTCAGCAGCGAAGGCCCAAAAGGCGTTTCGGAGAAACCAGCTGTGGGAACACGGGTCCCCAAGGAGAAGGCGGGCGAACGGCGTCCTTCCCGGAGGCGGCTGACTGCCGCAGCCCGGGGGCGGGGGGAGGGGGGCGCCGGAGAGGGTCCGGCCAGGAGCGACCTGGGGACGGTGATTACGGTGTCGTCGCGCGGGACTTGCAGCGCCTCCGGGGAGTGACCACGTAGTGACAGTGGCGTGGAAGCGGCGGGGAGGGGACGGAGTGTGGCCCAGCCCCACGAGTCCGACCTTAGCTGGCGAAGGGACTTTGCGGGTGTGATTAAGGTAAGGACCTTGAGACACGGAGATTATCCTGGATTATCCCAGTGGCTCTAGAAGTCTGTGAGGGGGAGGCCGCCCGACCTCCGGAGAGAGACTTGGAGGCTGTTCTGGAGTTGGCGGCCGGGGTTGCGGCCGTCAGCGGGGTGAGACAGTGCGCAGCCCTGGCTGTTGTGGAGGGGGCATTCGTGCCCACAGCCCCCGAGGGACAGGGGCAGCTCCACACGGAGGCGGGGGTACATGGGTACAGGGCCTTATACATACATTCATGTATGTGTATATATATATATATATATATATATATATATATATATGACACATGTATATATTTTTGACTTTCCACTTCTGTCTCTGGCTGAGAGAGGAGAAGGCAGGCAGCGGGGGCCCCTGGGCCCAGGCAGCACTCCCCCCGGGACAGGCCTGCCCACAGCGGGAGTTCCCCTCCTTTTCCTCGCAAACAAGGTGTTGTTTTTTCTCTTAAAGCCTGGCTCGTATCTCTATACACAGGTGACACCATTTCCCACCCACCCCGCCCCCACCGTCTGTCCGCCCCTGACTGTACCGACTGCAACTGCTTGTTCTCTGTCTTTGTGAGTCTTGGGGCCTTGGACTGGGAGACACTGCCTCTCCTGGTGCCCCCCCCCAGCCCTGCGGGCACCAGCGGTGGCAAAGAGCCACCCAGAGCCTGCTCCACCAGCTCCCCACCTCACCCTCGGACACCAAGCCAGGTGCTGGACAGCGAGGGACCCCTCCCTGCAGGCCAGGCTGCTGAGTGCGCCCATACCACCCACCCCACGCTGCCCCACCCTCTCCTTTCTGTGAGGGCCCCACTTGGGGCTCGGGCCACACTCTCCTGGCTCCCAAGTCTGCCCCCCGGCCTGGGCGGGGCTTCCCCACGTGCCCGTGGGTGCAGGGCACCTGCTTCTCCTGGGGATGTAAGCGGCTGCTTGTTCCTCCAGAGGCAGGTGACGGTCTCTGTCACCTCACCACACCCGACTGCATTCATTAGAACAAATCCTGGGCGCAGATTCTGAACACAGACACCACGCTGCTGCTCTGGTGACTGGGAAGGGCCACCGTGTAGGACCGCAAGGGGCCAGACAAGGCCAGCACTCGGCTTCTGGGGGACCTGGTCCTGCCCACACCTGAAACACACCGGAGGGTGTGTGCTGTCCTGGATGGGCCCCGAGGCCAGGGCAGTGAGACAGCGTGGCACTGGGCACCTTGGGGCACACGGTGGCCTGCATTCACAAAGGGCCATCACTATGGGGTCATGTGGTTCTGTCAACTTTACTAAACTAAGATATTGTGACCCTGGATGTGTCCACACTGTCCTGGGTTCCCTCTGTCACACTTCCCCTCTTGCTGGGAGGCCCTGGGGAGGTGGCGATACTTTCGGGATCTGGCCAAGGGGAAGTCATGCTGTGGAAACATCGGTCGGGGTCAGACAGATGTAGTTTACATGGCCTGCAGTCACTTCTCTGCACCGTGAAGTTAATGCCAGACATGCTGGTGCATCCAGGGACATGCATGGCCATTACCCAAGCGGAACGAGTCACACAGACTGCTGGACGCTGCTGACTGGACCGGATGGCACTGACAAGACAAGCGGGAACCTCATAGCAATGTGACAAGGACACGGTGGAAGAAGGCCATCCGATCAGTAGGGGCATCTTAGATTAGCAGAGCACAGAAAGTGCACCCACACTTTCCAGCTGGCTGGCCGGTGGAAGAGACCCGGCCACGTTCTCTCCAAACGAGACGGCAGTCCCACAGTGGGTGTGGCAGAGCCGGCGGTGAGCTGTGCAGAGGGAGCCTCTGCAAACCAGCGTCTTGACCGGGTGTCCAATCAGCTGGGCCAGAGGGGCTCAGTGGTCTTTCTCTTTTCTCCCTGGAAAATGGCATTGCGAAATCATTGTAAAAAGATGCAACATAAAATGTATTTCTTATTCTGTGCTCTTTTTCTTTTGATACAAAGTGAAGATGCAAAAAAAGTGTCCAAAGGCAAACAAGGCTTCCACAAAGGGGCCTCTTCCCGGCCTGAGGAAGCGGGAAGAAGGCCAGTCAAGGGGGCCTGTTCACCAGAAGCCCCACTGAATGGTGAGCGCCCCCACTGGAGGGGGCGCCTCTGTGCTGCGGGCGCAGCTGGTCCGAGATACTCCCAGATCCCGTGCTTGTGAATCCATCTACCCACTCAGGTTTATTTGTAACCCCACAGCGGACCCTTGGGGACATCTCAGCCCCCTGAAAAGCCCTCCACGTACATCCTGAGTGGATTGAGGTGACACTGGCCTGTCTCAGCTCAGACTGGAAACAGGCGCCCTTCTTGCCATCCATTTAGTGCCACGTTTTCTGCATTTTTGTGCGTTTTCTTGGTGATTCCACTGCTTACGACAGCCCCCAAGCCTGGTGCTGGGTCCCCGAGTGCAGGGAGGCTGGGACTGGCCTTTCAGACAGTCCGTGTGTCCGGCAGCTCCTTCAGGCTGAGACAGTGCTGCTGGCTGAGCTGTGTCCGCGGACAAACGTGTGTTATATGCAGCATCACCCGTGATGTGTCGGAGGGCAGGTTCGGTGGTGTGGTGGTGCTGAGGACACAGGCGGAGAGGAGCAGACCCAGGGACTTACAGCCCTCCCGCTCAAGGTTCCCCCACGGGGAGGAGGGGCAGGGAGCTGAGCTCAGAGCTGGGGGCTGGGCTGCAGCTCGTGGACACTGGCTGAGGAATCCCATGGGAAGGGGTGCTTTGCCTTTCCTGGCTCCCCCCACCCCAGGGCCTTCACACCCTCTTTTCTCCTGTTTGGATGCCTGCCCCCCCATTTTTCTTCTCTTCTGGGACCCCACCCTTTCCAGCACCCACAGGAGCCAGCTTCTGCAAGGCCCTGCAGCCCATGGTCGCAGTGCGGAGGTGGGGACCTGGTTGGAGGGCAGCCCATGACGCGGCAGGAACCGGATGGGTCCCCAGAAAGCCCCTCTGCCCACGATGCTTACCTTGGCCACGGACACTGCACTCCGCGGTCGGGCTCACAGGAACAGGGGCCCTGGAGTGCTGGCAGGCGCGGGGCAAGACGGCCGAGTGAACACGGCCCCAGCGCTGCCCGGACAAGATAGTGCTGTGCACGCTGGGGTGCCCCGCTGGCAGGGCCGGGCGTGCGGAGTGGGAGGTGGCGGGGAGGGTTCAAGGTCGGCCTGAGAGCGCGATGGGGAGGGGTTTCACGCCGGGGAGGGGTGTAGGACCGCCTGGGGCAGGAACGCTAGGCCAGGGCGCAGAGGGAGTGAGGCCGGCCCCTCGGGCTTCCAAAGTGAGAACTGATGGGAGGGGGCGTCTCGCCGCGAACAGGCGTGGCAGTCCTGGCCGCCGCAGGCCGGGAGCCTCAGTCCCCGTTTGGGGTGAGGACAGGGGCCGGGCGTCCGACGACCCCAAGCCCGCACAGCCCAGGGCCGTCGCCATGGCCCCCTTCCACCGTGGGCGCCAGCCTGACCGCGAGCCCACCCTGGGGGCGCAGGCTGTGCCTCGCGCGCGCTGGGTCAACCTGCACAACCGCGAGCCAAAGGATGGATCCCGGGACCGCGTAAGAGCAGTCCGTCTGCGCAGGCGCGCGCCTGGACGCCGCAGGTGCAAACGCCTCGTGTCGGTGTCGGGAAGCCGCGAGCAGAGAGCTGAGACCCGGCTCCGGGCTCAGGCCGGCGGCCTGCTGCCACCGGAACCCTCCTCTGATAGCCAGGTCGCCTCGCACAGCTCCGTTGGGACCCTGGGCGGAACCTCAGCTCTGCAGGCCCGCCCCACCTCCCGCCCTCAGGCCCCGCCTCCCTCCCCGGGCCACGCCTCCAACCTGGCCCCGCCCTTCGGGCCTACCCCGGTAGGCCCTGATTCCCTAAGCCCCGCCCCCCGCCCTATCTCCTGTCCGCCCCTCCTCCTCAGGCCCCGCCCAAGAAGCCGCACCCCGCTCAGCCTCGAGGTCCAGCCCAGCTCCGCCGCCGGGCCCGGCGGGGTCCGAGAGTGCGCGCCTGCGCAGTGGCGGCGGGCGCAGTCGGAAGCCCGGCGCGGATTGCTGGGGAGACCCGGGACCACGGCCTCTTTCCGCAGCGCGCACCCGGCTCTCGCCAGCCGCCGGAGCTCCGGCCGCCCGGGCAGAGTATGGCGGCGGCGGCCGAGCCCGGGCCCCGCGCCTGGCTCGGCGGCGGCTCGCCGCGCACTGGCAGCCCGGCTTCCAGCCCGGATCTGGGCAGCGGAGGCCGCGCGCGGCTGGGGCCGAGGTCCGAGCCCGGGTCGGGGCGGGAGCGGGTAGGCGCCCGGACCCCGGGCCCCGCTGCACCGGGCCACACCTTCCGGAAGGTGACGCTCACCAAGCCCACCTACTGCCACCTCTGCTCCGACTTCATCTGGGGGTTGGCTGGCTTCCTGTGCGACGGTGAGCGCTCGCGACCCCACCGCAGACCGCAGCCCCTGGCCCCAAACGGGCGCCTCACCTTCGGCCTCTGCGCTGTGGCCCCGCATTGGCCTTCCCACCGGGCGGGAAGAGCCTTCCCGTGGAGGTGATGAGGACCAGCTCTGTCCAGGGTTCGGGGTCCCGGGTGCCCCCGGCCCCTCCCCAGGACTCCCTGGGCTTCCTAACCTGGGTCAGAATCCAATGGGGGAAGAGCGTGGCTCCCAACCCCCTGAATCAGGCAGGGTGAGCCAGAGGACAGGTGCAGTGACTGGGGGGTGAAGCCAACCCACCCTGAGCAGGCCGGCTCCCCCAGGCAGGGCTGGCCTAGCCGGCTGGCCTCCGTGCCCTGGTGCTGGTCCATTCGTGCTCAGGTGCGTGCACTCTGATGCCCACAGGGGCCTGGGGTTTGCTCTTCTCAGGGTCAGGCTCCCGGACAGCCGGCTCTGGGGCCTACTGCCCCAAGTACGGCATGCCCTGACAGGGCTCCCATGCAGCTGCCAAGCTGCCGGCTGGGCAAAAAGGCCCTCCCTCCTCTGGTTCCTGGGCAGCTGGGGTGTGTTTCAGGGTCTGCTCTCTTCTAGTTCTGTGCCCTTCCTTGGGGCAGGGGGGCAGGCCTGGGGACCCCACCCTGCTGCCCAGGGACGTTGAGGGTGGCGGGGTGGGGAGCTCTTGCCCTGCCCAGGGAGGCAGGCCTTTGGTCGTGGGGACAAAGGCACAACCCAGGCACAGGTCTGTAGAGACTTGGTTCGATCTGGGTAGGGAGAAGTCGGGGCCCCTCGTACAGGACGCCTTCTCTGTGAGGCTGGTGTCAGGGTGTTTGCCCCTGGTTTTTCTGTCACGCTGGAAACATCGCACTGCCCTGCCTCCCCCCTGGAGGACCAGGAGGCTCCCCTATGGCGGGAGACTTGCTGACACAGGCCCAGCCAGCCCCAGGCCTGAGGCTCGACCCAGGGCCCCCACACGGGGGAGATCTGGGGAAGGCAGGGCCCCAGGTAGGAAGGGCCCGGCAGCTCATGGAGAGAGGCTGGGCGTGGGGATGACACGGCGGCCTCCCTGGGCAGCCGTGTGCATCTGCTCCCCCCTCCGTGGAGAAGGGGCTGGTGACCTCTGCAAGCAGGGGAGCCTGATAAGGCTGCGGAGGAAGAGCCCCTGCCCGGCAGGAGCGCCCAGGATGCGTGGTGTGCGGTGATGGCCCGCTATCTTCCCGAGCCAGAGGGGAAGCCGGGCGCCGCCTGCCCACAGCTGCTGTCTTCGGTGGCGGAGCCAGCCTGTCGGGAGGGGAGGCCGACGGGGCTCACACCTCGGCCCCTGTGTCTCCCCACTTCTCCCGCCCCAGCCCGGACTGCTGCTCCTGGAGTTTTCTGGGACGGCAGGCCTCAGGGCTGCTCTTGCCAGCCTGGGTCGGAGCCGCCTCGAGGCCCCGTGGGCAGTCTCACCCAAGGCTGTGTTGCACAGTCATCCCTCTGCCGCCTGCCCGCTGCCCGGGCCCCTGCAGCCGGGTCCAGCCCGCCCCACCCCAGGCCCCCATCCTCACGGGCGTACCCCTGCTGCACTAGGGGGCCGCTCTGGCCACTCCGGGCCTCCCCCCACTGACCATCTTTGAGTCCATCTCCCAGCTGAGTCTGAGTCTTGCTGGGCCCCCAGGGCCGGTGGGGGCACCCCTTCTTAGGTGGGCCTCCGGAGCACAGTGTGGTCTGAGTGCTCACTGCCTTCAGGGCCTCTGGCCCGCCCAACCCGGACAGGGGCAGGGCAGCCATCCCACCAGCCTCAGTGGGGTCCCGGCCCAGCACAGACTGGCTGTGGGTCCCAGCAGACACGGCTTGTGGGAGGCCTAATTGGGGGTGCATGCAGCTGTGGGGGTGGGGAGGATGTCCCTGGCAAAGCTGGTCTGGGGGTGTGCCCAGGTGCCCATCCACCTGCCCGCCCCTCTTAGAGACTGGGAGGAGAGCTAAGCCTAGGGGCAGGGGCCACTCTCGGGGCACCGGATACGTCACCCGGGATGGCCACAGCCATCAGACCCCTGCTCCGCGCACACGCTGGGCGCTCTCTCCGGGTGAGGGGTGGGTGGGGCAGAGGGCAGGGTGTTTCTTGGCGCTCCCGAGAGGGTCGGGGGAGGCCGTCGCTGCAGCGTCCCGTTGCTGCCAAGCTGGCCATGCACGTGGGTGGTGCGAACCGCGCTCCCCGTCGCTCCCACGGTGGGGTGGGCTGGGCTGGGCTGGGAGCCCGCAGTGACCCTCCCTGCAGGAGGTGGCCGCAGCAGCTATGGCCGAGTGCACCCACCATGATGGGGACTCCGCCCTGTCAGGGCACTGCTGCCCTGCCCTGGCCCTCGGTGGGTCTGCCGGCTGAGGCCGCCCATCTGCGTGCTGCCGTTCCTGGGGCCTCTAGGTTGCTGGGCAGGACAGAGGCCAGCTCCCGCGGCTCTGTTCCCACAGTCTGCAACTTCATGTCCCACGAGAAGTGCCTGAAGCAGGTGAAGACCCCCTGCACCAGCGTGGCGCCCAGCCTGGTCCGGGTGAGCGGCCGAGTGGGCGGAGGGGTGGGGAGGGGCTCTGGCAGGCAGCGCTGGAGCTGGGGCTCAGGCCTCTGGTGGGATGGGGAGGGCAGCGGGGCCAGCCTGGGGGCCGGGGGTGGGAGTGCTTCTTTGTGCTAGACGGGATCCCGAGCTTCGACCGCTGCACCCCTGCCTGCGAGCCTCTCCCAGGGCAGCAGCCACCCCTCACTTCCCGCTGGTTCTTACCTGTCCCGTGGTCCCCAGTACAGCCCCCTGCCTGTGGGCAGGCCCCCCGCCACCAGTGTTCCCTTCGGGTTGCCCACATGTACCGCAGGGGGACAGAACTGGGAAGTGGTCGGTGCCGGCGCTTTCTGGACAGTGCAGCTGGGGGGAAGGACCAGCAGGGGTGCCCTCACGCCCTGCAGCTGGGACTTTGTGGGGGGAGGCCCAGGGCAGCGCTGGCCCCACACAGAGTGGGGCCATGGCCGTGCGGGGCAGTCCCAGAGGACCCCTCACAGCACCGTGTGAGCACTGTGCAGGAGGGTCTGGGGGGACTGCGGCAGTCAGGCAGGTGGTGTGGGGGTGTGATGGGTGTGGGTGGAGGGTGCGGGGTGGGGGCTGGCAGCAGGTCCCGGGCTGAGGCTGTGCTCTGCCTCCTCCAGGTCCCCGTGGCCCATTGCTTCGGCCCCCGGGGGCTTTACAAGCGCAAGTTCTGCGCTGTGTGCCGCAAGAGCCTGGAAGCCCCCGCACTCCGTTGTGAAGGTACAGCTGACCCAGGGTCCCCTGTCCCTGCTGCCCAAGGTGGCCCAGCCAGGTGGCCTGGGGGGCGGGGTGGAGATGGGTGATCTGGGCTCTAGAGCTGCCCAGGCCGGTCAGCAGGGTCTGGCTGCTGGCTGCACATGGAGGTGGGCCCCCCTGGGGAGAGGTGGGGGGCTGTCCCTGAGCTGCAGTTCAGGCACAGGAAACTTACAGACCGCGTGCCGAGGGGGGCAGGGCCAGTGGGGAGCGGCGAGAGGCCCCTAACGCTGCCCACCCCCCAGTGTGTGAGCTGCACGTTCACCCCGACTGTGTGCCCTTCGCCTGCAGCGACTGCCGCCAGTGCCACCAGGACGGGCACCGAGACCACGTAAGTGGCTGCAGTCGCAGGCCGGGGCGGGGGCGGCGGCGGGCGGACGGCGCCTGCTGACGCACCCCCTCCCCCCACAGGACGTGCACCACCACCACTGGCGGGAGGGGAACCTGCCCTCGGGCGCGCGCTGCGAGGTCTGCCGGAGGACCTGCGGCTCCTCCGACGTGCCGGCGGGTCTGCGCTGCGAGTGGTGCGGCGTCCAGGTGCGGTCGGGCGGCACGGGCGCCTCCTTTCTATGGGTGCCGAACTTTTGGGGCGGGGCCCTGTTTTGCGAGTCGGGTCCCCCTCCGGGCGAGGCCCTGCAGGAGCCATCAGTCCTGCGGATCCCAGAGGGCTGGCCTGGACCTGCCTGTCCGCCTTAGGTTCAAGGCTGTGCTCACCGCCCCCCCCCCCCAAGGTCCACACAGTCTGTTCCGCGGCGCTCGCCCCCGAGTGCTCGTTCGGGCGCCTGCGTACCATGGTCCTGCCCCCCGCGTGCGTGCGCCTGCTGTCCCGCAACTTCAGCAAGATGCACTGCTTCCGCATCTCGGAGAGTGCGGTCCCCGAGCACGGTGAGCGCGGGGCGGGGCTGCGCGGGGGCGGCGGGCGGGGCCGAGGTGGGTGGGGCGGGAGTGAGAGGCCCGCCGTGCGCATCCCGCTGTGCACATCCTGCAGGCGAGGGCGACCCCGCTGCGGACGGAAGCGCTCCCGCCTGCCCGGGCAGAGAGGTGCCTCCGCAGGAGTCAAGTATGTGCCCGGTCCCCGACCCCTTCCTGGCCCCGGCCCTGGCCCCCACCCCTTCACCCCATCCCTCCGCGGGTTCACGCCCCTTCCCCCAGGGCCAGACAAGCAGACACTGAGGATCTTTGACGGCAGCGACGCCGTGCATCGGGGTCAGTTCCGCGTCATCAGCGTTCCGCGCCTGGCCGGGAGCGAGGAGGTGCTGGTAAGCGCCCCCCCACCCCTGGGCGGCGGCGGCAGGGCGCCCCAGCGGGCAGCTCTTCTACCCCAGACCCCACCCTGCAGGAGGCAGCCCTGCGAGCCTACTACATCACGGAGGACCCTGGCGACTTCGAGCTGCAGGCGCTCCCCGCAGCGCTGCGGTCAGGCGACCCCGGGGCCAGGGGCCAGGCCCAGAGCGGCGGGGCTGCGGAGGCGGAGGGCAGCAGGGGCCCGGGGCCCCCAGAGAGTGTTCCTGTGGCTGAGGCCCGGATCATCCGCGCCCTGCCCCGCACCCAGGACTTCCTGAAGGTCTACCCTGCCTGGCTCAAGTGAGACCCAGGCCCTGGGCACAGGGCCTGCCCGCCGGGGGGCGCGCCCGGAGGGTTGGGGGGTGTGGCCAGAGCTCCTGAGCTTGTCCCCCGCAGGGTGGGTGTGGCCTATGTGTCCATTCGCGTGACTGCAGACAGCACTGCTCGGATGGTGGTGCTGGAGGTCCTCCCGCTGCTCGGGCGCCAGGTGTGTACCCTGGGCCTGCCGGTCCTGGCCCCCCGGCGGGCCAGGCAGCCGCCCCGGCCGGGTGTGGATGCCCCATCTGGGTGTCGTGGGGAGGTGGCGCCTGGTCCTGGCCTGATACCCCCACCTCTGTCCCCCCAGGCCGAGGGTCCTGAGAGCTTCCAGCTGGTGGAGGTCCTCATGGGCAGCAGGCAAGGTGAGAGGGTGGCCCGCAGCCGATGCCCCAACCAGCCTGCCCCCCCGGGGCCCTGGGGTGTTGGGGCGGCCGTCTGCAGGGGTGGGTGCCGTGCTGACGCTGTGCCTCCCACCCTGTAGTCCAGCAGACAGTGCTGGCTGACGAAGAGCTTTTGCTCGACCGGCTCCGTGACATCCGGCAGGTCAGTGGGTGTGGACGCTGGCCCTTGGGTGCTGCTGGCCTTTGGCTATGGCTTCTACCTCGCAGAGAGGAACCCATGGCCACCCTGGTGGGCAGCTGGGTGTCCTGGACAGGAGTGCCCCCTCGGGGCCTGGCAGGTCCATCTGCGTCCTAACAGGTCACCTGCTCCTGGAAAGCTGGGTTTGGAGCTTGCGACCTCGGAGCCCCTGAGGGGTGCAGGGAGGAAGCTGTGCTTTCCATCCTGTCCGCTTCTCTCTGGTGTGGCTCAGCCTGGGGACCCTCCCAGGGTGGTGCGGGTGGAGGGGCTGACATGGGCTGCCGGGCTGTGCTCTGCTCAGCACCACCCCCCACCCCCCGCCCCACAGACATCCCTGCGGCAAATGAGTCAGACTCGCTTCTACCTGGCTGAGAGCAGGCCCGTGGCCCCCCGAGTCTCCCTGTTCATTGGCGGCCTGCCTCCTGGCCTGCCCCTGCAGGAGTACAGCAGTCTGCTGGACGAGGCTGTGGCCACGAAAGGTGTGATCACTTGGGCTGGCCTGGGGCTACTGGCCACTTGGGACAGGGCGGGGGTCCTGAGACAGGCTGTAGGGGCTGCTAGATGAGGCTGGGCCCTCCAATGCCCCCCTCTGAGTCACAGCCCTTGCCCAGCGGGCGACCGAGCCAGCGGGCCTCCCCGCACCTCCCGGGCCCTGGCAGGGCCCCTGCTCTAAGGGGCTGCTAAGCCTCCTGAGGTCCAGACTCTGCCTTCTCTTCTCCGGGCCCTGCTGCACCTGGTGTTGGGGGTGCCCTTTCCCGGGGTCCCTGGCCCTGCTGTGTTGTATGCAGTTTCCCCCGAGCAGAGCGGCCGGGGACTGCCAAGCAGGGGTGGGGGCAGCCGTCTGGAGGCGCTGGGGGCCCCTTGGTCGTGGCTCTCTCCCGCGCCCTGACCGCGGCCCGTCTTTGCAGCTGGCCTGGCGTCCGTGAGCCACGTGTACGCCTCCCAAGGTGAGCCGCGCCCCGCGCCGTCGGGGTGGCCGGGCAGTGGGAGGGAGAACCCCGCCCTCTGGCCCCCGTGGGGCCGCCCCGTGTTCACACCGACTCCCCTCTCTCCTCCCGGGGACCCCCTGTGGGGGAAAAGCGTTTTGCTGCCTGGCTGAACCAGGACTGAGGCCAGAGAATGTTACCGTTCCGCCCACGGGTTCATGTCCTTCCCACCGAAAACTCGACATCTACCAGAAATGGGGGCACGGTGCCTGGAGCCCGTGTCCCCTCTGTGGGTCCTCAGCAGTTACCAGTCCTCCCTTCCTGTGGGCTCATCCCCCGTGGGTGCGTCCTAGTGGCCTTGCTGACTGCCACCCACCATGTCCTGTCTCGGGGATGTCCAGCCATCCATGAAGGCTCCCCAGGGGTGGGGCTGTGCAGGCGCCTTTGGGTGGGCTTATCTGAAACCGGCTGTGGCCTGTGCTCACAGTCCCCCTGCCCCAGGTGCTGTGGTGCTGGACGTGGCCTGCTTTGCAGAGGCCGAACGGCTGTACATGCTGGTCAAAGACACCGCCGTGCACGGCCGGCCGCTGACTGCCCTGGTGCTCCCGGACGTGCTGGTGAGTGGGAGCTGGGACTAGGGGACCTGGCTTCTGTGGCTGGTTTTGTTTCACACTCGGGGGTTGGCTGCCCAGGCCTAGTTCACACACGTGGGAGGCCTGCATGGACCGCAAGGACACCCCATGGCCCTCACCCTCTCTGGGTTCACTGGGCAGGGCCTCATCCACCTGCCCAGCAGGCCCTGGGACCCCTGCTTGCAACCGTGGCTGCCTGGGCCAGCAGGGGGAGCTCCTGACCAGACGCTGCCCTGAAGACCCAGCACTGCCTCGAGCAGGGGTCCCTGGTGCTGCACCTGCTCTTGCTCTGGGGTGAGGGTCCGGGTGGGGTGAGGGGCCCACGCCCTGTGCCCTCCCAGAGCCTGTGGTCCTCACTCTGTGGCCCTCAGAGCCCCTGGTGTCCATGGCTGCTCTGCCCCTGGCCCCCAAGCAGGTCAGCAGTGAGCTCAGGGTCTGACGGGTGGACGGCACCTGCAGGTCCCCGCTGCCCCTACCCTCCCCGAGCCAGCCCAGGGCGGGGCGGCCAGCCAGCGGGTGCAGCCTGTGGGTCAGGGCCCTGGGGGCGCAGCTGGCAGGCAGTGCCAGCAGGTGAGCGGTGCCTCGGGCAGCCCCACCTGCCGGGCCACGTGTCACCCCAGGGTGCCTCTGGCCTGCGCCCAGCCTGTATGTCTCCTGTCAACCAGCCACCTCACTGTAGGGACCGCAGGCCCTCCTGGTTCTTGCTCGTGGGCACCCCAGCCTCCTGTCCATTGGGTCCTGGGCACTGTTGGGAGGATTTCGGGGGCTTCCTCCGGAGCTGAGGGAATGTGTGTGGACTCCCCATGAGCCCGGCCTCCTGGCTGCCACGTGTGTGGAGGGGGGGGGGGCATGGCCCTCGGAGCTGCGTCCTGGGATGTGCACCAGGTGGCTTCTGGGTGCAGGGGGGGTCCAGCCCGTGCTCGTGGCACGTGGACAAGGTGGTGGGCACGGCCTCGGGGACACGCGTCTGCAGCTGGCCACGGCCTGTGTGCCTGGAGCCCCAGGCTGGCGGCCTCATTGTAGCCCCATTGGCCAGAGACGTGTGGGTACCCCCGTGCCTTGGGGGTGTCCCTAGAAGTCTGGCAAACTGGGGGTGCCGTGTGGCCTCCTCGGCCCAGTGTGCGCCTCCCTCAGGACGGGGCGGCCCTGGCTTGGCTCGGGCCAGGTGGGCTCCGGGTTGGGGGCAGTCACTGCCCAGGCGGTATGGTGGGGGGGGACGCCTGCCGCAACTCAGCCCCCGTCTGCCAGCACACGAAGCTGCCCCCGGACTGCTGCCCCCTCCTCGTGTTTGTGAACCCCAAGAGCGGAGGCCTCAAGGGCCGGGACCTGCTCTGCAGTTTCCGGAAGCTGCTGAACCCTCACCAGGTCTTCGAGCTGACCAACGGGGGGCCTCTTCCCGGGTGAGTCCGGCGGGAGCCCTGCCGCAGTGCCTGCAGCCTGGCCGGCCCCCGAAGGGCTTCCATGCACCCGCGGGTGCGGGTGGGCTGGTGGGGACAGGGCGGGGCTTGGGGCCCGCACTGCGAGGGCTGTCTCGGGTGAGGGTGAGCTGTGGCCCCGTCAGGCGGCTGGGCTTCGACCTCTCCCCCCCCCCCCACTTCCCTGTGTGGCCCAGGCTGGTGGCAGACAGCCCGTCTCCCTGCCGCCAGGCTCCACGTGTTCTCCCGGGTGCCCGGCTTCCGGGTGCTGGTGTGTGGCGGGGACGGCACCGTGGGCTGGGTGCTCTCTGCCCTGGAGGAGACGCGGCACCGGCTGGCCTGCCCAGAGCCTGCTGTGGCCATCCTGCCCCTGGGCACAGGTGCGGTCAGCCAGCGGGTCGGGAGGCGGGGCCTGTGGGCACGCCCCTTCCCCCTTCCCCCTTCCCGCCCAGGCTTCCGTGGAGGCCTGCGGCGGGGCGGTGTGGAGTTACCGGAGTCTCCCTGCCCCAGGGAATGACCTTGGCCGCGTCCTCCGCTGGGGGGCGGGCTACAGCGGGGAGGACCTGTTCTCGGTGCTGGTGTCGGTGGACGAGGCCGACGCTGTCCTTGTGGACCGCTGGACCATCTTGCTGGACGCTCAGGAGGCCAACGGCACAGAGAACAGCGTGGCCGACCTGGAGCCCCCCAAGGTACCGTGCGTCTGGGAAAGGGTGTGGCAGCTGTGGGGCCTATGGTGACCCCCTCTTTTTTCCCCCTGGGAAGTCGAGGCGCAGAGCAGGGGGTGCTGGGTGACAGCCCAGGGCTGGCTGGCGGGGCCTGGCCTGCACCGCCTGCCCGGTGCTGGCGTCAGGGGCCCAGCTTGGAGGGCCGCAGGGCCGACCTGGCCACGGGAGAATTCTTCCTGTCCCCAGATCGTGCAGATGAGCAACTACTGTGGGATTGGCATCGACGCAGAGCTGAGCCTGGACTTCCATCAGGCCCGAGAGGAGGAGCCCAGCAAGTTCACGAGCAGGTCTGGAGTGGGGGCTGCCCCCCCACCAACAGCGCACTTCCTGGAGACCCCCGGCAGGGATGGGCATGGAGGGGCTGGTCCCGGGGGGCTACAGCGGGCGCACGCCCTCTCGCTGCAGGTTCTACAACAAGGGCGTGTACGTGCGGGTCGGGCTGCAGAAGATGAGCCACTCCCGCAGCCTGCACCGGGAGATCCGGCTGCAGGTGGAGCAGCAGGAGGTGGAGCTGCCCAGCATCGAGGGCCTCATCTTCATCAACATCCCCAGGTGTCGTGGGCGGGGCGCTCCGGGGCTCCAGCTCGGGCGGGACCCTGGGCCCGCGAAGCCGGCACGCTCGCTCACCTGTGCACCCCTCCTTCTCGGCACAGCTGGGGCTCGGGGGCCGACCTGTGGGGCCCCGACAACGACTCCAGGTTTGAGAAACCTCAGATGGACGACGGGCTGCTGGAGGTGGTGGGGGTGACGGGCGTCATGCACATGGTGAGTGTGGGCGGGTGGGTGGCCGGCGGGCAGGCCCCGTGAGACACCCCTGCCTGCTGAGCCCTCCCCCCTCCCCCCACCAGGGCCAGGTCCAGGGTGGGCTGCGCTCCGGCATCCGCATCGCCCAGGGTGCCTACTTCCGAGTCACCCTTCTCAAGGCCACACCTGTGCAGGTGGATGGTGAGCCCTGGGTGCAGGCTCCTGGCCACATAATCATCTCGGCCGTGGGCCCCAAGGTGAGCTGTGGGTTGTGCCTGAGAAATGGGGGTGAGGTTGGCCCAATGCTGGCAGGCTGGGGCTGAGGGGCCTGGTGTGGCCCATTCTTCTCTGACCCCCAGAGGTCCTGGGGTCCAGGAGAGGTCGGTCAGCCAGCCCTTCAAGAGCTGTGGAAATGGGCCTCCTAGGGCCTCAGGGGGTGTCATCTGGGCAGTGGTGGGGCTGGGGCCCCACTGCCTGCCCTTGATCAAATGCACCAAGATGGGGGAAGGTGTTCTGGGGACCTGGGGTGGTTGGTTTACAGTGCACTGCCCTCTGACCTCACCTGCCCTGCGACAGGTCCACATGCTCAGGAAGGCCAAGCAGAAGCCCAAGAAGGCTGGGACCCCCAAGGATGCCTGAGTAGGATGCCTCTCCCTGAGAGGAACCCTAAATAGAGGGGGGCTCCAGAATGGCCTGGGCCTGCCCCACAGCGGCAGCGGCGGGCAGATGTGCCTGCAGCCCTGGCCTTGGGCCTTCTGCCCCACGAGCCTGCCTCCCCACCCGTGACCCGGGCTAGATGCTGGACGAGGGCTCTGCTGGTCAACCCTCCCCCCCAGGGCCCAGGGCCCAGGCCACCACCACGGGGGGCAGGTGGGCCGGCCTCCCTGTGCCCCTCCCCCCAACCGAGCCCTTTGGGCAGCCCTGGACCTCAGCTGGGCCCTGGGTGTGCCCAGCACTGACATGGGGTGGCTGCCCACCAGCTGCTCTGACCTCCTGACCTTGGCACCGTGAGCCTGTCCGTGACCTGGGACTGACCGCACTGCGCAGCAGGGCCTGAGGCGGCCAGGCAGCTCGGCCACCACCCTGAGGAGCCTGGAGGCGGAGGCAGGGGTGGGCCAAAGTGCCTGGAAGGGACCAGAACTGAGTGGGCTTGGCCCAGGAAGCAGGGACGGCAGAAAGCCTGTGGGACCAGCTTTAATCGCCAAGGACACTCGGCACTTTGTGTCTCGTTTGCAAACAGCGTGGCTGCTCCCAGTGTCTGCTGAGCAGACGGGACTTCCGTGGCCTCAGGCTGCGTGCTGCTGCCAGCTCCCCTCGGCTGAGCCTGGACCACCCACGCCTCAGACCCAGGAGGCGCCCGACCAAACCTTCGGCCTACCTGGGGAACCTCCGGCAGCCCCACTGTTGACCCTGGGCAGGCCTTTGCTGCTGACACCTCTGGCAGGGCTGCTGGCTTTGCCTCAACCTCAGATGTGGCCCTGCCCAGCTTGTGCCCCCCTCGCCCCCAGCTTCTGCCAAAGCTGCACCCACAACGCACCAAACAGCTTGCGGTGTCTCGTGTGCCTCCAGGGTGTGTGGCCCGCTGCCTCGCCCCTGTGGTGCCCCCAGTCGGTCTGTGCCCTGTGGGCCCTGCTGCTGCTGTCTGTGGGGACCACCTGTGGGGTGTGGCTGGGGGTCCTGCCCTGCAGTCCCGTGTCCATGCCCAGAGGCGCCTCCCGTGTAACCCACACTACGTGCACTGTGACTCGCGTCCGCCACAATACAGTCCGGGCGCCGCCGTCTCGTCTCTCTCCCACTGGTGTGTAGGAGCGGCGTGTGTGTGTTTGGGGGGGGGGTGGGGGGCAGGCTGGGGCCCAGGACCAGAGCCACTGGACTGCCAGCGCCCCGTGGCTGTGGCTGTGCAAGCCCGTGTGTGCCTGGGACAGAGAGGGGCGTGTGTGACACCACAGAGCTGGGGGGGGGGGGGGGGCGGGGCTAGCAGGGGGCAGGCAGCAGCGGGGCCTGCGGGTCCCCCTCTGTGGGCCGCGCCGGCGGGGCCAGGCCCCGCAGGGCCCGCAGGAGGGCCAGGCCCAGGCGCACCAGGAGCCGCAGCAGCAGGAAGGCGAAGGGCACGGCGATCTGCATGAGGTGGAAGATGGCCGTGCTGAAGCGGCTCAGGAGGCAGGTGGCGGCGAAGGCCAGCAGGCTGGCGCAGGGGTAGAGCGCGAGCTTGGCGAACATGAAGGCGTGCTCCCGGCCCCCGAACCGCGCGGAGGGCCGCAGCGTCTCCGCCTCGCGCAGCAGGGCCGCGGTCCACATGGCGAACTGGAAGACGCTGGCGAAGAAGACGATGGCGCAGCTGACGCGCACACGCTCCAGCTCGTCGTGCGGGCGGCGGGCGAAGGCCGAGGTCTGCTGGTAGGCCAGCGGGAGGCCGCCCACGAAGGCCAGCGAGAGCGTGTTGAGCAGCCCCATGCACTGCGTGGCCTTGCGCACGTGCAGGAACAGCGAGTGGTGGGCGAACCAGAGCAGGCCCACCGTGGCGAAGGAGCCGAAGTACGCCAGGAACTGCGGCCCGAACTCGCTCAGCGCCGCCACCAGGCTGCCGCGGAACCGCTCCGCCACGTCCTTGGCGTCCGGGACGTTGTCCGAGCTGCGGGGGCGGACAGGCGGCGCCTGTAGGGGCCTCGGCGCGGTGCCGGGCCACGCCCCCGCCCGGCCCGGCCGCCACTGCCACACGCGTGAGCTTCAGGGGGCGACGGGGACTTTGGGGACCCCAAAGTCACGCCACCCTGCGTCTACACACACTCAGTGCAGCACACGATCCCGCGCCATTCCCTTGAAGTTCAAGCTTAACTGACCCCGTTCACTTTGCCAACCGGCAGCCCAGCCCTGCCTGCTGGACCCCGGGGGCTGGCGAGGAGCACCTGCCGGAGCCCCTGTGGCCCCCACGGAGGGGTGCCCATGAGGCCTCCCACCCTCCCGCAGCGGCCTGTCCACTCGGGGGTGGGCCTGCAGCCGTCACGGAATGGAGCAACGCTGAGGCATGTCGCGTCCTGGTCCCCCTGCCTCCTGGAGGTCATGGGGCCGTGCCCTCAGCTGCAGGGCCAGAGCACCGGTGGGGGCCCCTCTTGAACCCACCCAGGGGTGGGGCGCCTGAGACACTGCACCCACGGGTGGGCGACAGGGCGGAACCCAAGGGATTGAGGGAGGGAGGGAGGAAGCGAGCCCGGTGGGGGGTGGCCTGGGGACCCTGCGAGGTCCTCAGGGTCAGCAGGAGGGCAGCTGGGGCTCTGGGCAGAGACGGACGGAAGAACATCCCCTTCGCCGGCCCCCGACCCTAGCCAGCCCTCACGCCGCTCATGGAGGGAATGGGCATTAGCAACAGATGATTCTGGAAGCTTAGGTCTAGGCCTCAGAGATCAGTACCAGGGGACATCTGCTCCCAGTTTTAAAAATTCACAAATTGCAGTAGCTAAGGGTGACCAACCGAGAGTTGGACCAGAGGCCAGGCTGTCAGAGCATGGAGTCCAGGCTGCCAGCAGGTGGGCGGCGTCCGGAGGCGCAGCCTCAGGCCCAGAGGAGGGGCACACGGGAGGCAGGCACGCCTCAGGGGCACCGGTGTGACAGGTGGGGGGGGCAGGAGAGCCTGACGGGGGCTGCTGGCACGGAGAACCCTGAGCTCTGGGAGCCCTGCCCGGGGTGGGGCCCCTTGGGGGGCAGGTGGCACCGGGGGACCCGTCCCACAGGCCCGGGCAGCCCGGGCGTGGGCCTCACCAGATGTCCAGGATGAGGAGCGTGGCCACGATGGCGTACACCCCGTCGCTGAAGGCCTCCACCCGCTCCTTGCTGAGCGGCTCCTGCAGGTCGAAGGTGAAGAACTCCACGCTGTGGGCCGGGGGCTCCGGGGGGCCTGTGGGCGTGGCAGGGAGGAGGAGCTGGCCAAGCCCCTGGGGCCGCAGGTCCAGCTGGTCGTCCCCGCCCTCCCCCTCCCACAGGGCCAGGGCCATGCGGGGAGAGGACCCATGGGGATGCCCGGCCACGGCAGCCGGGCTTGGGGAGCAGCCCCCGGCACCCACCCCTGAGCCTGTCTCTGCACCAGCTGGCGGCCTTGCTGACGTAGGGGAGGACGATGACCGTCGCCAGCAGCAGGTAGGACTGCAGGAGACGCAGCGCAGGTCAGACCTGCTCGGAAGGGCAGGCGGGGGCCCGGGGAGCCGCGCGGCAGGGGAGTGGCTGTGCAGCAGGCTGCGGGCTGCAGGGGACAGTGCCTGCAGCCACGCCTGTGGAGCCCCGTGCACGGGCACCAGCAGCCCGACCACGGTGAGGGAGCAGCCCCCAGCCCCCAGGATGCTCAGCACCGCTGCCCACCGGGGAGAGGCCACGAGGCCACAGCGAGCTGTCCCCTCGCACCCGCCAGGACGGCCGCCCTCAAGAACCAGAACTCGGTGCTGGCGGGGAGGGGACATGGGGTCCTCAGGCCCCGACGGCGGGAGTGGAGGGAGGCGCCGCCGCTGCGGAAGCTTGACGGAGCTGCCTGAGGGGGGGGGCCCACGGAGCCAGCGCGCGGCCCAGCGGAGGGAGCAGGCTCTGCAGAGGCGTCTGCGCTGGCGCTCGGGGCAGCGGGGGAGGGGGGGGTCTGAGGGCGGAGGGGCGGCGGTGCAGACGCCCACGCCGCAGGGCGTGGTGTGGGGTGGAGGGGCCGGGCCGGGCCGTGGAGCCCTGAGCCGAGCAAGGAACCAGGCTCCAGGGCCTTGCCCTCGGGGCTCCGTCGTGGGCAGCGCTCCCGTGGCCCCTGAGGGCGGGGGCCGCCCTGCTCACCACCGGGTAGAAGAACAGGGAGAAGACGGCGGCCAGGAAGCACAGGGCCGGGCCCCGGAGCACGATGTGCAGGATGTGCTGCCGGTGCAGGCGCCGGTGGGCGGAGCGCCCGATCTGGGGGTTCAGCAGGTGGGGGAAGCGGAAGGCGTACACCACGATGAGCGCCTGTGGGGGGGGGGCAGTGGCAGGGCGGGCCCTTGGAGGGCGGGCTCTGCTGTCCCGGAGTCCCCGGGCGGAGGGCACGGAGCCCCTGCTCCGCCGCGTGGGGGGGCTCAGGCTGCTGCGCTGCCCTGCCACGGACTCGCGCAGCCCCGCGGGGCCCGGGCTCTCCCTGCGTGGGCACCGGAGCCCCCTCGGATGCGCCCAGGGCAGGCGCCCTGTGATGCCCGCGTGCCACCTCTCCCTGCGGCACCCCCCCCCAGCGCCGAGGGGCCCGCCTGTGCGGAGGGGCAGCCCACCTGCACCGCCCCGATGGCGATCACGCACGTGCAGAACAGGAAGATGCCCAGAGGCGCCGCGGGGAAGGCCACCATCAGGGAAAACTGCGGCCAGGAAATCAGAGAACCCGGTTCCACAGGGCCCGAGGCTGCGGCCTCCTGGGCTGGGCTGGGCTGGGCTGGGCTGGGCTGGGGTGGCCTGGGGGCATGCCCTCTGGGGAGCAAGCCCAGGGAATGCTTTCCTCCTTTAAGGCTGGGCCGGCGACCCGTTCCTGAGACGCCCCCCAGCCCCCGGTCCTCTGGGACGCACAGCCTTGCACACGCAGGCCCTGCTCCCTGTCCGAGTGCACAGTGAGGGGGCCGGCGGGAAGTAGGAGCTGTGGCCCAAGGTGTGTGGGGGCCACATGCTGGGGGTGGGCCTCGGTGGCCAGGAGGCTGTGGGCGAGGGGCAGGCGGCAGCTGGGAGCGCCAGGAAGCACGGAGGGGGGTCCCCCATCGACCTGTGGGGACCCAGGTGTGTCTCTGCCACTGCAGGCCTGCTATGGCTGGAGAGCTTCCCTTCCTCCACCCAGCCCTGAAAACTCAAGGCCCCCCCCGCCCCGCCCCACATGCCCACTGGGCTGAGTCCTGTCGCCCAGCGGGGGGTAGGCTGGACCCCATGCCCAACGGGGCCTGGGGGCTGGCCGGTACTCACCGTGAAGGGCAGGAAAGTAATGGTCATCATGCAGGCCTGGGGCAGGAGGGGTGAAGGGGGACGGCAGGTGGGTCACTCCAGGCTGCCGGTGACCCCCTCCTGCTGCCCGCCCCACGCAGGGAGCCAGGGCCACCTTCCCAGCAGGCCCAGGGCCCAGGGCGGCGGGGGAGCCAGCCGGCTCCCACTCCGGCCTGCGGGCGGGTCTGCACCGGGGGTCCCGTCCCGGAGAGGAGGGGCCACTCACCAGGTTGAGCAGGGCAAGGGTGTCGTCTATTTTCCCGACAACCTGGAACAACCTGAGCGGTTTGAGAAGAACACGATGAGACCCCGTCAGTGCCTGGGCCTCGCGGCCCCACAGCGGGCTCCAGCGTTTCTGACTGGGCCGCCCTGGCCCCGTCTCCAGCCGGGGTGAAGCGCGGCCGGCACACGGAGGCCGGGAGGCACCGAGCACGAGCGGAAGAAACCCCGGTGCTCAGGGGGAGCCGCAGGTCACCGTGCGCTGGTCTCCCGTCTCCGCGCTCGCGGGGGCGCCCAGACACAGCGGGAAAGAGAGGGGTGCGTGGCAGCTCCAGGGGCCGGCGTCCCCAGAGCAGGGGCAGGCCACCCCACGGCCCGGGGCTGCTCCCCGCAGCCGCAGCGCAGGGCCCCCCAGTGGACGCTGCCCGGGGCCAGCGCTCAGGGAGGCCCAGGGTGAGGAGCACAGCCCTGAGGTCGTGGCCGGGCATCTGGGCCGGTCCTGGAGGCCAGAACTCCAACAGCAGGGCGTGGCCCTGGGGGACCACAGAGGAGCCTGAGGCTAGCACAGCAGGACAAGGCAGGTTGAAGGGGGCTGTGGCCCCCCGGCTCC